GGAAGATAAATTTTGAAATTGGCAAATAAAATTTCTTTAATTTATTCCTCACCATTATCATATTGAGTCATTGGTATGTTACATATATATATACACACATGGTATATATATTGTGTATTTAAAATTTGAGATAATGTAATTCTCTCTCTCTCTCTCTCTCTCTCTCTCTCTCTCTCTCTCTCTCTCTCTCTCTCTCTCTCTCTCTCTCTCTCTCTCTCTCTCTCTCTGTCTTACTTGTGGCTTCTCGAAGTATAAACTTTTTGCGCAAAAGAAAAAAAGCAAAGGGAATAAGTGCAACTAGAAAACAAGAGGCACATAATTAACATTTTTCTTCCTGTTATATTCCCAGAGGATTTCTAAGTAGGATTGAACAATTCATAATCCAACAGTTTTTATTGCTCAGTATTGCAGTACTTGTAAAGAAAGTATTTGAAAGAAGAAAAAATTATATACACAACACACAGACATGCATAATATATATATATATATATATATATATATATATATATATATATATATATATATATATATGTATAAGTATATATATATATATATATATATATATATATATATATATATATATATGTATATATATATATATATATATATATATATATATATATATATATATGTATATATATATATATATATATATATATATATATATATATATATATATATATATATATATATATATATATATATATAGTGCATATGACTTACGTATCATACACATGTATTTATTTATGATATATACATTATATATATGCATACATACATGGTAGAAAAACCCACAATGCAAAAAAACTAAGATTTATTGAAGATGCATACGTACACGTGTGTGTTAACAGATAATCGGAATGAGATGAAACTGATTGGAAGGCGATACTGTGGTTTGGACCGGCATCATTAATAAATCAACTGGAAGACGTTTCATCTGCTTTATATTTATTTGTTCACAGGTAATGTGAAATGCCCAGCCATGGCCGAATACATGCATATTGTGACTGATAACAAACGACGTATAATTATTAAGAAGCCAATATAAGAAGTTTAGCGAACAATACAATTTAATTGTACTGTTCCTCCTCCGGACGGAGAGTTATGTAATTAATCTTGTTTGTCTACTTATGTGTATGGTTTGTGAGCTTTATGTTTATAGACGATCACGCGTTCGCAACAACAATAACGTGCCGTGCTAACAGCGGCGGGCACCATACACAATGGTGTATTTGATCTGCCATGCAGTAGTCACCTGGGATCGTGTGAAGTATAACCTCGGCACTTTTTGATGATACTGCAGAGGATACCAGCGGTTCATACAGGGTTGTCATTTCAGTTTTTGTTGGGGGGGGGGGGGGCAAACGAAGCGAGCGCAATCAGTTTTTTTTGGCCGCTGCGAACCAAGGTCTATATAAGCAAAGACCTTGCTGCGAACTCTCACCCCGATTTTATGTGTTGGTTTCCACGAGCATTTTCATGCTACGAGCATAACTATGTAAAGGTGTAATTTAGCGAAAAAAAATCTTGAGGGTGTGGCTCTTGGTGGAGGGACAAGTCTGACCTTGAAGGGGCAGCCAGAGTCGGGAGGGAGGAGGGGCAGTTGCAAATGACGCCCCTTGGTTCATTCTGTTCAGGTGTATTGAGCGATCGATTTTCGCTTCCACTCGGTGGCGCCGCACAGCACTGACACGTCCCATAAGTGGATCAAAGACTTTTTTGGATACGACCCCTTTAATTTACTTCGATAGATTCGCGTCTCACTCCCCCAGCAACTAGGCATTTTTGACAATCACTGTAACACATTCCCCTGTCTCCGTGTCTTTGCTTACGTGTCAGTGTATGTATGTATATACGTACGTACATTCGTACATTCTCTCTCTCTCTCTCTCTCTCTCTCTCTCTCTCTCTCTCTCTCTCTCTCTCTCTCTCTCTCTCTCTCTCTCTCTCTCTCTCTCTCTCTTTCACTCTCTCTCTCTTTCTCTCTCTATCTATCTATCTCTATCTCTCTTCCTCTCCCCCCCCCCTCTCTCTCTCTCTTTCCTTCTCTCTCTCTCTCTCTCTCTCTCTCTCTCTCTCTTTCCCTCTTCCCCTCTCTCTCTCCCTCTTTCCCTCTATTTCCGTCTCTCTCTCTCTTTCTCTCTCTATCTACACACACACACACACACACACACACACACACACACACATGCTTTGTCATGAGGCAGGGGTGCTGTCCTTTCCTCGTCTAATTTATGACCGAGACCTTTATTTGAAATCTGTATCCATGGCAGTTGGCTGCTATTTGAGTTGATTGAGGCATCCGAAGACAGGAGATACTTTAAAAGAGCCAATAGTCAACTTCAAGGCCTCTCAGTACCTTGTCTCGGATGCATGTTTAGGTGTCTGGGTAACACTGCCTATGAATTGTACTGTTCTTAGATCTATTCGATAGTCCAAGGGAAGAATTGAAGCCTGGAGATTAAGAATTTTCTTCCACGGGGCACCTTGAATGATCCTCGTAAACTAATTTCGAATTGAACCCATGTAACTGGCTCGGCAGATATGAGAGACAAAAGCGTAGTTCACAGATCACATGTATTTCTGAGAACCTTATGTCCAGCACAAATGATTCTCCCAGTTATTATTCTCATAACAGGCCTCCTCGCCTTAGTGTGGTCCTCCAGATACTGTTCTTCTAATTGGAAAACATAACCTTGCGCCATGGACACTAAGTCTCACAACAAAGGGCCTTTGATTTGGCTACAGAGATCTCAAGGCTTACCCTACAGACAATGCTAGTTCCAAGTATTTCCTTAGTGTGGGAATAATGCAATATCATCCGCATAGGAGCTGACATGTACTTCAGTAGGTGGTGGACGTAAAGAATGTTAATCATCACGGGTGTTAAATAGAGCCGTACTAAGAATCCAACATTGTGACATGGTGCTCCACTTTGAAGTGATTCTTTTCTTTTCCTAAATGGTCTCCTAGGCGAGCCAATGCTTCTGAGAGATACGAGGCGGTACAGCTGCCTCCATGATCCCTATGCCCCCTGTTATTATGTGGTAAAGTCGCAGCGGTATTGAAGTAATTATGAATGAAGGGTCAATTGTGTTTTAATAACGGACGTAGATTATGCTTATGCTGTCACAGGCCGGAATCCGAGATACTATGAGGCATGTTACGGTAACTGATGATAATTATATGGAGTAATAGCCACTAAATCTTTTATTTTTAAAAAGTAGTTGGATATCATTTTTTTGAGAAAGAGGTCTTTTAACTATTTAGTTTATCGTAATCAAAGTAGAGGGCCGGGAAAAAGAAGATGAAAGCTCTATCAGACAAAGTATTAATAAATCCTACACAGTCTATAATATCCATGACCAGTGGTGGATCCAGACGGGTACTCTTTTCAGTCAAGTATATGGTGCCCACAGCTGCATAATATGTAATGTACAGAACTTTGTGAACAATTTAAGCGATAACTTAAACACGGTATTAAATATAGTGAAATGATTTCGACAAAAAAAAAAAACTTTGAATATTACTTCAACTAAATTTTCATGAAATAATACAAGTCCCTTTTTTCTTTGCTGAAACTATGAGAGGCTGGATTTCTTCCTTACTACAGACGGCATGCCATAACATTAAACAGCATGAAAGTACTCCTACCCTACATCACTGCCTCGTGTCTTTGCTGCTGGCCACCCTATTGTACATTCTGTCCGTCTCATTTGAAGCTTTTGGATTCGACACTGTCCATTGCCTCCGAAAATGATGGTGATGATAGTTTTCAACATTAGAATGTGAATTTGATTTAAATGAACACCAGTGACCAAAAGAGAAATATATAGGCCTACTGAGCGAAAAATATCAAGGCGATCATTCATCTTTCTTAAGGTCTAGTTAAAAAAATGAAGATTTACAGTCCTAATACCTACGGCTCTCTTCCTTTGAGATTGGTAAATGGAACGGGAAAAAAATCAGTAGAAATTTAAAATGACCCATTAAACAGATGACACATTGAAAAACGTAAGACTCCAGACAACAAGGGAGTAAAAGATTCTTTGATAGTTTTTTTTCCACCTTTCCATCACCTACATATGAAGAGCAACGCAAAGTCCACAGAAATACTTATGTGGACTTTCGACTCAAATAAATGTTTCCAGATCATAAACAAATGATAAGAAGATAGTCCTGTAGATAAACTGTCAAGGGACCGTTTAGAGCAGGAAATAGCATGAACCGTGTCTGTTGAAACTGTTTATCAGTTTTTATTACTAATAATATTTAAATAAGGAGTCATGTCTGACATAATGATCAGCTTCCTTGTGGCCATTCAATGCTATCTAGAGTTTTGCTACTTATATTAATGAATGCGGTAAACATAGCAAGAGTAAAAATAGGTAGCAATAGGCCCGGTATTGAATTAAGGATAATTTCGGGCAATATTCTATTTTTAGCTGTTTACCTTCATGTCTATAAATCATTAATTTTCTAAGATGCATTGGGCACAGTATATTATGTTGGATTTGTCAGTAACCGGAGTGCATGAACCGGGGCTCAAAAAGTTATTAGAAGAATTTACATAAGAAGGGAATTAATGAATGATAAGAGTAATAAGCAATAGCATTAAGGAAAACAACAATAATGGTGACAATGAAAATTAAAAAAAAACATTGTAAAGACATAAGACAAGTTAAAATGAACATAATTATAACTATTCACCATGATGTAAAACACATTACTCTGCCATTAATGACATTCAAAATTAAATATATCACGAAAACACACATTGTAGATAAAAGGATAGTATAAAAAGTATATAAAAGAAAGGAGGCATAATGTAAAACTCCTCACAATACTATTAATGACACTTAAAATTAAATATATCACGAATGCACACATTTTGGATAAAAGGATAGTATAAAAAGTATATAAAAGATAGAAAACATAATGTAAAACTCCTGACTTTGCTATTCATAACATTTATATGAATGACCCCTTTGCATGAGACGCTGAACCGAGGATTTTTAGTGTTTTTTATTGTGTTTTTTTCCCCCAAAATAAAGGTGAAAAAGGTCTATAAAACCACTCGTTCACCCAAAATAAAGGTGAAAACGTCTATAAAACCACTCGTTCACCCAAAATAAAGGTGAAAAAGTCTTTAAAACCACTCGTTTACGCTGTGCTATATTATTATTTGTAATTAAAAGATTCCTATGAATTTGTTAAAATATCGAGTTATGGTTGTGATTATTGAATGTTCACTGAATTTAACATAAAAACAACATCTGTCTGATATGAAGTTGTATAAACTATAACTGTAATCCAGTGTTGAAGTAGGAATCGTTTAGAATATTTATTTTGAAGGAATTTGTGAAACAAGTCAGATAGGATATTATGTTTTCCTAATGGACCACTTTACTTCAGTGGTCAACACGTGCAAGTGGGGGTGTTTGTGATTAATCTGTTGCAGTGATACTTGCACTCAAGCACACACACTCACACACTCATGCACACTCATTCACACTCTCTCACACTTACTCACTTACTTACTTACTTACTTATATACTTATGCACATGTGCACACACACACTTGCACAAGCACCCACGCACCCACGCATAGACACACACACACACACACACACACACATACACACACACACACACACACACACACACACACACACACACACACACACACACACACACACCGGTATATAGATATATATGTGCACACACACACACATACACACACACACACGCACCCACACATGCACCCACACACGCACGCACACGCATGCACATGCGCACGCACGCACACACATATACACATACACATACACACAGGTGTATAGGTATATATGTGCACACAGACACGCACACACGCTCATACACACATGTGTACACAAACACATGCGTGCACAAACACATGCGTGCACAAACACATGCGTGCACAAACACATGCGTGCACAAACACATGCGTGCACAAACACATGCGTGCACAAACACGTGCGTGCACAAACACGTGCGTGCACAAACACATGCGTGCACAAACACATGCGTGCACACACATGCGTGGACACACACATGCGTGGACACACACATGCGTGCACACACACATGCGTGCACACACACACACACACACACACACACACACACACACACACACACACACACACACACACATACGTATACGTATACGTATACGTATACGTATACGTATACGTATACGTATACGTATACGTATACATATATACATATATACATATATACATATATACATATATACATATATATATATATATATATATATATATATATATATATATATATATATATATATATACATATACATATACATATATATATATATACATATATATATATATATATATATATATATATATATATATATATATATATATATATATATATATATATATATATATATATATATACACACCTATATATATACACCTATATATATACACCTATATATATACCTATATATATACCTATATATATACCTATATATATACCTATATATATACCTATATATATACCTATATATATACCTATATATATACCTATATATATACCTATATATATACCTATATATACCTATATATATACCTATATATATACCTACATATATACCTATATATATACCTATATATATATATATATATATATATATATATATATATATATATATATATATATATATATATATATATATTATATATATATATATATATATATATATATATATATATATATATATATATATATATATATATATATATATATATATATATATATATATATATATATATATATATATATATATATATATATATATATATATATATATATATATATATATATATATGTATATATATATACATATATGTATATATATATATATATATATATATATATATATATATATATATATATATATATATATATATATATATATATATATATATATATATATATATTTATGTATATGTGTGTGTATATATTGTGTGTTTGTGATGAAATGTAGAAGATGTTGTGCTTGTATTAAAGTTATTTGGGTTATTTGCAGAAGAATGGGTGACACAGATGCTGAGGAGAGAGAGCATTTCCAAAGAATTGTCCATGCTTTTAAAAATTACAAGTAAGTTTCCAAACAGAATATTCATCTTTATGAAATACCTGAACTGTTTTACACATAGGCATTGTCAGTAATGAATAGTTCCAATCTCTAATATAGTCATGTGGTTCTGTATTCATATGCCATGTTTTACAGTACATCGTAATATATTGACTCACAAGGATGTTTTCTCAGAGGTTATGCCCTTAAGAAAGTGAAGGAGAGGGAAAGCTACTTAAAGGAACTTCCTCCTAGACATCAGTCATTGCTGGAGTCCTACAAGCGTCACCTGGAGGAGCAGAGAACTTGCATTGAACACAATGCAGAGATCATCAAGCTTATCATTAAGGATGTCGAATGCATGTTTGAAAACGTGAAGCATGACTCTACAGTAAGTGTGAAAGTTTCTCTCATCATCAACATCATCATCATCATTGTCATCACAGATATAAACAGATTTCCTTTTTAACTAAAGAAAGTAGATTATTATTGAACTGAAAAATATCTGTATATATTAGTCTACTTATATTATTTCTATACAAGGAAGCCACATGTGGCTGAGGAGCAGCAGTAAAGTTGATTTGAATCTATCAACACTCTCTACTTGCAAAATAAAGTTTTTTTCAAAAGATAGCACTGTTTTAGCCCTTGCAGATTTGCAACATCAGATCAACCATTATCTCAATTAGATGCACTTATTCCAGGAAGTGAATGGAACACAAGCTAGCAGTGCCCTCATTCAAGACATGGAGAAGGTCATGACCACCCTCAGGCAGATTGTGCGAGATTGGTCCTCCTCGGGGGAATACGAGAGAAGTCAGTGCTACGGACCAATTATCTCACACATTGAGCACCTGTTTCCAAGGGAGTCTGTGTAGGTTTCATCTTCTTTTTCTGTACAATTGGTCCCAAACTTGTGATGGTTCAACTTAGTATAGCTATTGCAAAAGCGGTATGCAGGCAGTTGGGAGCGTGTGTGAAATTTGGAATTTTGATTGCTATTCGGTAAATTAGATATTCAACTCTGTTGTGTGATCTACTCTGTGTTTAATGATTGTGTCCAAGTTTATTTACTTGTTTATTTTTATTTTTATTTATTTATTTTTTATTATTATTTTAGGGGGGGATATGATGATGACTGTAATAATCATATTGTTCTTTTCTCTTCACATAATATATTTATTAAAAACATAACAAACCTGCAGGTGTACACAGGACATCAACATTTTAGTACCTGGAGCTGGCCTGGGCAGGCTTGCATATGAGTTGGCAAAAAGAGGCTACTCCTGCCAGGGAAATGAGTTCAGTCTGTTTATGCTCTTCGCTTCAAATTTCGTCTTAAACAAGTAAGTCTTCATGCAAGATAATTGCCTGTAAAAGGAAAATCTCATTTAGCCCAAGCATTGTTTAGAGCAGTAGTTTGTATTTGTTTTCATGCAATATTCAGAAGATTTCTCATAGTATGTGAAGTGTAATGTGTTTTCTCATCAGCTTACAATGATGAAAGCTTGAATTCCTTTTAGGAATATAGCTCTTGGATTGCTGGTAAAAGTATAGAATTTTGATGGGTAGAGAAAAGAAAAATCATTATAAGTATAGGAATACGAAATACCCAAATGTTTTAGAGTCAATTTAGTGTGAAGATTGTAATGTTTAGTATATAAATAATGACCATCCTTACATAATTCTTCTTTTTTCTGAGTATTGTTTTTTTTTGTAGAGATAATTAAGAAAGCTCAAGCAATATTAAGTAGACTTTTCTTTTAAGAGATAATTAAAAAGTTTTGTGGACTGAGACCAGAAAATAATGTATAAAGAAATATTTCAGCAACTTCCAACAAACCTTCACTGTGTAACCTTCAAATAACTCTTTACAGAGTGAGAGGGCTAAACAGTTTACGTGTTTATCCCTGGGTACATTCTGGCAGCAACACCCTAAACAACGTAGACCAGCTTCGTGCAGCAACATTTCCAGATGTAGATCCTTCAGACATACCACCACAATCACAGTTTACTATGGCTGCTGGAGATTTTCTTGAAGTAATGTCATTTAGTTATGTCAATGATTATATATTGATACACTTCTCTCCATAGGTTGTTATAATTCCTTATCTAATTACAAAGGTCTCTTAATCTCTTAATGTGTGGATACATTAAGCTGACATTGATTCACGCTTTATTGTAACCGAGCTGGGAATTTTCAGTAAAGGATTTGGATTAGTGCCTGCTTATGGTTGCATAGGCTACTTGTAAGACTGGTTAGGTGACAAGAGCTTTCATCTATTTATCTTTTGTGGAGCACAGGAAGTAGAGAAGAAAGTAGCTAGAATAGGGAGGTGTATTTACTGATATTATATGTTCTGATAGATGGACATTACATGCCTTACTGCTTACTCCAAGTAGAAGAGTTTCCTGTTATTTTTGTCTATTTTATAGATACATTTAAAAACAGGACCTATAATAGTGAATATGACCAAGCCCTTCTCACAAGCAAGTGCAGTCTTCTCATTAGATGGCTAGATTGTCTCAGATCTTGTTGGGGTATGTGAATGTTGGGCTGAGTACCTTAAGTAGTTGTACCAGGTTGACCTACTATCAGTTAGCCTAGATGCAAATTGTGTTGTGATCCCAGTGCTAAATCCACCCATCAGTGAGGAAGTAGGTATATGTAGCATCCTTGCTGAATTGTTATTAGTTGATGATAAATCTATAATGCACAGTTTGCATACTATCCTGGCTTCCATTCCCCTGGACCTGCTGAGGTGTGTTGGCATCTCTCTCTGGAAAAAGAAAGGTGATTGATGGGACTGTAGTATTAAAATGCTCAGGATTGCAGGCAAGGTTCTCACTCACATCCTTTTCAGTCATATCAGAGTTCACGTTCTAAGGCAGAAGAGGCCAGAGCAATCTGGATTCACTCCTGGCAGTAGACTGTATTCTAGCATTCATTTTGCTGCATAATGAGTCTCTCTGAGAGACCCTGAGACTAAGGGAAGTTCCAACAAGGATTATTGGACTAATAGTAAGCCTGTTTACTGGTACTGAAAGTGTTACATAATGTACCAACTCTTATTCCCTGTGAATTCAAGGAGTGAGGCAAGGCTGTGCTCTTACATTAGCATTTTTCAACACTGGACTGGATTCTGGCCAGAGCTACCATCCAAGGTCATTGTGGAGAAACACTAGGCAATATCAAGGTCACTGACCTTGACTTTGCTGTTAATGTTGCTATTCTGTCCTAGTCTCTAGAAACCCTACTGGCATCTACAGAAGCATTTAGTCCAAGATCTAGGATTTAGGGGGTCTACTAGGAGAACTTGTTCAGTCAGTCCATGCTTGTTGTAAGGAATCTGAAGTCACACAAAGCTTAACATACACTGACAATGCAGGATTTGAACTAAGGTCAGCAAGATTGCTAGATGAGAACCACATATTAACCCCTTGGTGCCGGGTGACGCCGATCGGCGTGTAAACAAAGCGCTCGAAAGCTGGCGTGCAGCCAAACGAGCCGGTGGCGCGCCAAAGCGCGGCGAGCCAGTGATTCGGGCTGATGTCCCCTACTCACGCCGCCTTTGTTTCCTTAAGCGTAGAGTTTTTTTTTTTTGTTTTGTACACCTGGCGCCATTGGGTTAAAAGAAATAGTGCTAATTTTTTTTTTTTTTTTTAAGTCTGTCTACACATATATGCATGATACTATTAGGAGCTCCAGTACCATTTGACTTTTGTCAGTTGATAGTTACAGTTCTGTGAACAGATCTGCCATCTTGACCAATAATGTTTTTGGTTGGTAGCATGTTTTAAACATCTTTAGATGAAACAAGGCTATGCTGAGCAGTGGATTATTGCTGAAAATTAGAGCATGGTTACTTGAACAGTATATAAAAAAGTATTATTTTGAAATTTTGTAATTCATGTGAGTTAGTTGCAGATAGTTAACCCATTGCTGACGGGCATGCCATGCCATGCCCACTGTGAGATTATTTGTTTGATTGTTTTTACACAGAGATGGCTACACTTGTACTAAATCACCAATGAGCCAGTTACGAGTACTGCCTGTCTCGCCCGTTTACCCTTTTCTTTGATTTACAAAATATTTTACGTTATCTTATTTTGCTGTTACTAATGTTAAAAAACATTATAATAGTTATAATGTTTATAATAAAAATAACACCATCGATATTCATGGCACTAGTGAAAAATACGTTTTTCCCGCCATTTCAAATCAGGCACTAGCAGAGCCATCTATGGGCAGACATTTCACCCCAAAAAATTGAAAATAGGCACAGCATTTTCCCCATTTTTTGTTCATTTTCCTGGGCAGCAATGGGTTAAAGAACAATTTTGGTAATTTTCTTAAGAAAATTTGTAAAGCCAAGATTTTTGCTTTCTTTTATGTTATCTCTAAAAAGTTATTTTATCACTGAAGCAGAATAACTTCTATGTGATATTTTACCTCAGCCTTACCATTCCAGATTTACACAGATGAAGCCACCTGGGATTGTGTAGCAACTTGCTTCTTTATTGACTGTGCCAACAATATTGTGGACTTTATTGAGACCATATTTAAGATTCTTAAGCCAGGTGAGGAAATTCCCAATTTTTATATTTTCAATTTATTGGCTTCATATTGTGTTTTTTAAAGATGACTTTGCAAGTTCCTCAAAATTATTATAAATTGATCACCTTTGGTATAAGCAAATTGTGAATTTGCATTTCCTTTTGAATTTTGTTACAAACTATGTAATTTGATTCTGTAATTTCATAATGATTTACAGGGAAGTAATTGTCTGACCTTGAGATTTTATAATGATCTTTATCTTACAGGAGGCTACTGGGTGAACCTTGGGCCTCTGCTGTACCATTTTGCTGACCAGCCAGGAGAACGCTCTATTGAACCCAGCTATGAAGAAGTCAAAAACATTCTGACAGGGGTTGGGTTTAAAATTACTGTAAGTTTTTTTTTTTTTTTTGTGTGTTTGTGTTTATAATTTGTATGTACTCTCGTTGTTCCTATATATTTAGAGGCTTACTCTTTTATTTAATGCAAAGTGTTTATTTTGTAGGCTTTTAAAAATATTCTGTTGGTTATATGTAAAGTTTAATATGAGTGAAATATAACAGACAGATATTACTAGAAGTGTTGAAGAGAAAATCATTGTAAACAGTATTACTTTTTTTGGTATTATTTTTATTTACCTGAATATCTGTTTTCCAGGTTGAAGAAACGGGGATGCATACAGCTTACACCCAAAATGTGCGCTCGATGCTAAAGTATGAATACGATAGCGTCTTCTTTGTTGCCATGAAACCTTAACACTGGCACTGTAGCAACAGATGAAACAGCTGTCAGTAATCTTTACATAATTTCAAAGATGATAGGATAAATGCATCTCGATTTTTTCTCTACTTTTAATATATACTGAGATACACATAAATCCCATTGATATAAAGAGGATGGCAAAGCAAACCTTTTTATCTTAGTGTGATACAGAAATTTTTAAGTGAATTTGCTACTGCCTAGGTTTTATAAAGGTAGTTTAGATAATCAATTTCTGATAATGATGAAGTAAAGAGATAATGAACTTTACTACACTTTTGTTGAGCCTTATTCAGCTAGAAATAGATGAACTTGCAAAAAACAAACAAACATATTCTAGGGGTTAGAATTGGGCTGTAGAGAATTCAAATTAAAGAAAGTACAATACAAGAGAAAGCAGTATATAAAGAAAAGCAAAGCAAAAGATCACACTGGAAATAGCATTCCTGTCCATGCACTTGGAACACATTGCAGTTTAAAGAAACATTTTGGTAATTTTCTTAAGAAAATTTGTAAAGCCAAGATTTTTGCTTTCTTTTATGTTATCTCTAAAAAGTTATTTTATCACTCAAGCAGAATAACTTCTATGTGATATTTTACCTCAGCCTTACCATTCCAGATTTACACAGATGAAGCCACCTGGGATTGTGTAGCAACTTGCTTCTTTATTGACTGTGCCAACAATATTGTGGACTTTATTGAGACCATATTTAAGATTCTTAAGCCAGGTGAGGAAATTCCCAATTTTTATATTTTCAATTTATTGGCTTCATATTGTGTTTTTTAAAGATGACTTTGCAAGTTCCTCAAAATTATTATAAATTGATCACCTTTGGTATAAGCAAATTGTGAATTTGCATTTCCTTTTAAATTTTGTTACAAACTATGTAATTTGATTCTGTAATTTCATAATGATTTACAGGGAAGTAATTGTCTGACCTTGAGATTTTATAATGATCTTTATCTTACAGGAGGCTACTGGGTGAACCTTGGGCCTCTGCTGTACCATTTTGCTGACCAGCCAGGAGAACGCTCTATTGAACCCAGCTATGAAGAAGTCAAAAACATTCTAACAGGGGTTGGGTTTAAAATTACTGTAAGTTTTTTTTTTTTTGGTGTTTGTGTTTATAATTTGTATGTACTCTTGGAATGTTGTTCCTATATATTTAGAGGCTTACTCTTTTATTTAATGCAAAGTGTTTATTTTGTAGGCTTTTAAAAAATATTCTGTTGGTTATATGTAAAGTTTAATATGAGTGAAATATAACAGACAGATATTACTAGAAGTGTTGAAGAGAAAATCATTGTAAACAGTATTACTTTTATTGGTATTATTTTTATTTACCTGAATATCTGTTTTCCAGGTTGAAGAAACGGGGATGCATACAGCTTACACCCAAAATGTGCGCTCGATGCTAAAGTATGAATACGATAGCGTCTTCTTTGTTGCCATGAAACCTTAACACTGGCACTGTAGCAACAGATGAAACAGCTGTCAGTAATCTTTACATAATTTCAAAGATGATAGGATAAATGCATCTCGATTTTTTCTCTACTTTTAATATATACTGAGATACACATAAATCCCATTGATATAAAGAGGATGGCAAAGCAAACCTTTTTATCTTAGTGTGATACAGAAATTTTTAAGTGAATTTGCTACTGCCTAGGTTTTATAAAGGTAGTTTAGATAATCAATTTCTGATAATGATGAAGTAAAGAGATAATGAACTTTACTACACTTTTGTTGAGCCTTATTCAGCTAGAAATAGATGAACTTGCAAAAAACAAACAAACATATTCTAGGGGTTAGAATTGGGCTGTAGAGAATTCAAATTAAAGAAAGTACAATACAAGAGAAAGCAGTATATAAAGAAAAGCAAAGCAAAAGATCACACTGGAAATAGCATTCCTGTCCATGCACTTGGAACACATTGCAGTTTAAAGAAATTGCAATACCATATGTCAAACTTTTTTTTTTTTTTCTTATTTTCTTTTTCTCTTTTATCTTTCATTTTTGACTCATCCATGATATCCTTCCTCTGCTTTGAGGAAAATACATTCATTACTCTCTTGTGTATCCATCATTGCACTTTGATCTGAATACATCACTCACTGCAGATATTTAGCTTTCCTGGGCATTTCCACTCATCAATTGCCTTTTCTGCTAAGTCAGATTTGGATCACTTAATTTCATCACTTTGGTGAATTGTATACTTAATGTCTTGGTAATCCTGTTTGTGACTTTTGCACTGCATCTCTTATTTTTTCTGACACTAGATATTTCTATATTTCTATAATTACAGTCTTAGAAAATGGGAAGAACAGCAGTTTAATTGTATTTTGGTTTGTTTTTTAGTATTTTTTTTTCTGTACTTCATTTTTTCTGTGTGCAATTTTGTTGTAGTTGATTATGACTAAAAGTGTAAGAGACAAAAAAGAGAACCGTTGCATTATTTTTGGTGTCCTTAGAAATGAAAAAAAACAAAACACAAACACATTCACATACAAAGAAAAGGTAAGATATAAAAACACCGCACAACACAACACAACA